TTTGCCTCCATAATTCAGTCTGTTTGTCCTAGACAAGTTTCAAAATACCGAGTATGCAGTTTATTTATATTCTGTTTATTGATTTTAGAAAGCTAGTTTTAAGTCAATTAATCAATCGAAATGTGGATTTTTCAAACAAACTTTACAGCTCGTTTTCCCCCCTTTGGAACTAGAATTTTCCAAATCCCCTTCGTAGTGCACACCTACACTGTGATAGGATACTTGAGCCCAAACTTCAGCTTCCTAGCTTTTACGGTTTGGGTTGTGGGCTGTTGACGTAGTTTCCTTTGTCCCCATAATTCAGTCTGTGTGTCCTAGACAAGTTTCAAAATACCGAGTATGCAGAATTATTTATATTCTTTTTTTGATTTTAGAAACATAGTTTTAGTTCGATTAACCAATCGAAATGTGGATTTTTCAAGCAAACTTTACAGCTCGTTTTCCCCCCTGTTTCCTTTTGCCTCCATAATTCAGTCTGTTTGTCCTAGACAAGTTTCAAAATACCGAGTATGCAGTTTATTTATATTCTTTTATTGCTTTTAGAAACCTAGTTTTAAGTCAATTAACCAATCGAAATGTGGATTTTTCAAACAAACTTTACAGCTCGTTTTACCCCCTTTGGAGCTAGAATTTTCCAAATCCCCTTCTTAGTGCACACCTACACTATGATAGGATACTTGAGCCCAAACTTCAGCTTCCTAGCTTTTACGATTTTGACTGTGGGCTGTTGACGTTGTTTCCTTTTGCCCCCATAATTCAGTCTGTGTGTCCTAGACAAGTTTCAAAATACCGAGTATGCAGTTTTATTTATATTCTGTTTTTGATTTTAGAAAGCTAGTTTTAAGTCAATTAATCAATCGAAATGTGGATTTTTCAAACAAACTTTACAGCTCGTTTTCCCCCCTTTGCAGCTAGAATTTTCCAAATCCCCTTCGTAGTGCACACCTACACTGTGATAGGATACTTGAGCCCAAACTTCAGCTTCCTAGCTTTTACGGTTTGGGCTGTGGGCTGTGAGCTGTTGACGTAGTTTCCTTTTGCCCCCATAATTCAGTCTGTGCGTCCTAGACAAGTTTCAAAATACCGAGTATGCAGATTTATTTATATTCTTTTTTGATTTTAGAAACCTAGTTTTAAGTCAATTAATCAATCGAAATGTGGATTTTTCAAACAAACTTTACAGTTCGTTTTACCCCCTTTGGAGCTAGAATTTTCCAAATCCCCTTCGTAGTGCACACCTACACTATGATAGGATACTTGAGCCCAAACTTCAGCTTCCTAGCTTTTACGATTTGGGCTGTGGGCTGTTGACGTTGTTTCCTTTTGCCCCCATAATTCAGTCTGTTTGTCCTAGACAAGTTTCAAAATACCGAGTATGCAGTTTATTTATATTCTTTTATTGCTTTTAGAAACCTAGTTTTAAGTCAATTAACCAATCGAAATGTGGATTTTTCAAACAAACTTTACAGCTCGTTTTACCCCCTTTGGAGCTAGAATTTTCCAAATCCCCTTCTTAGTGCACACCTACACTATGATAGGATACTTGAGCCCAAACTTCAGCTTCCTAGCTTTTACGATTTTGACTGTGGGCTGTTGACGTTGTTTCCTTTTGCCCCCATAATTCAGTCTGTTTGTCCTAGACAAGTTTCAAAATACCGAGTATGCAGTTTTATTTATATTCTGTTTTTGATTTTAGAAAGCTAGTTTTAAGTCAATTAATCAATCGAAATGTGGATTTTTCAAACAAACTTTACAGCTCGTTTTCCCCCCTTTGCAGCTAGAATTTTCCAAATCCCCTTCGTAGTGCACACCTACACTGTGATAGGATACTTGAGCCCAAACTTCAGCTTCCTAGCTTTTACGGTTTGGGCTGTGGGCTGTTGACGTAGTTTCCTTTGTCCCCATAATTCAGTCTGTGTGTCCTAGACAAGTTTCAAAATACCGAGTATGCAGTTTTATTTATATTCTTTTTTTGATTTTAGAAAGCTAGTTTTAAGTCAATTAATTAATCGAAATGTGGATTTTTCAAACAAACTTTACAGCTCGTTTTCCCCCCTTTGGAACTAGAATTTTCCAAATCCCCTTCGTAGTGCACACCTACACTGTGATAGGATACATGAACCCAAACTTCAGCTTCCTAGCTTTTACGGTTTGGGCTGTGGGCTGTGAGCTGTTGACGTAGTTTCCTTTTGCCCCCATAATTCAGTCTGTGCGTCCTAGACAAGTTTCAAAATACCGAGTATGCAGATTTATTTATATTCTTTTTTTGATTTTAGAAACCTAGTTTTAAGTCAATTAATCAATCGAAATGTGGATTTTTCAAACAAACTTTACAGTTCGTTTTACCCCCTTTGGAGCTAGAATTTTCCAAATCCCCTTCGTAGTGCACACCTACACTATGATAGGATACTTGAGCCCAAACTTCAGCTTCCTAGCTTTTACGATTTGGGCTGTGGGCTGTTGACGTTGTTTCCTTTTGCCCCCATAATTCAGTCTGTTTGTCCTAGACAAGTTTCAAAATACCGAGTATGCAGAATTATTTATATTCTTTTTTTGATTTTAGAAACATAGTTTTAGTTCGATTAACCAATCGAAATGTGGATTTTTCAAGCAAACTTTACAGCTCGTTTTCCCCCCTGTTTCCTTTTGCCTCCATAATTCAGTCTGTTTGTCCTAGACAAGTTTCAAAATACCGAGTATGCAGTTTATTTATATTCTTTTATTGCTTTTAGAAACCTAGTTTTAAGTCAATTAACCAATCGAAATGTGGATTTTTCAAACAAACTTTACAGCTCGTTTTACCCCCTTTGGAGCTAGAATTTTCCAAATCCCCTTCTTAGTGCACACCTACACTATGATAGGATACATTGAAGCCCAAACTTCAGCTTCCTAGCTTTTACGGTTTGGGCTGTGGGCTGTTGACGTTGTTTCCTTTTGCCCCCATAATTCAGTCTGTTTGTCCTAGACAAGTTTCAAAATACCGAGTATGCAGTTTTATTTATATTCTTTTTTGATTTTAGAAAGCTAGTTTTAAGTCAATTAATCAATCGAAATGTGGATTTTTCAAACAAACTTTACAGCTCGTTTTCCCCCCTTTGGAACTAGAATTTTCCAAATCCCCTTCGTAGTGCACACCTACACTGTGATAGGATACATTGAACCCAAACTTCAGCTTCCTAGCTTTTACGGTTTGGGCTGTGGGCTGTTGACGTAGTTTCCTTTTGCCCCCATAATTCAGTCTGTGCGTCCTAGACAAGTTTCAAAATACCGAGTATGCAGATTTATTTATATTCTTTTTTTGATTTTAGAAACCTAGTTTTAAGTCAATTAATCAATCGAAATGTGGATTTTTCAAACAAACTTTACAGTTCGTTTTACCCCCCTTTGGAGCTAGAATTTTCCAAATCCCCTTCGTAGTGCACACCTACACTATGATAGGATACTTGAGCCCAAACTTCAGCTTCCTAGCTTTTACGATTTGGGCTGTGGGCTGTTGACGTTGTTTCCTTTTGCCCCCATAATTCAGTCTGTGTGTCCTAGACAAGTTTCAAAATACCGAGTATGCAGAATTATTTATATTCTTTTTTTGATTTTAGAAACATAGTTTTAGTTCGATTAACCAATCGAAATGTGGATTTTTCAAGCAAACTTTACAGCTCGTTTTCCCCCCTGTTTCCTTTTGCCTCCATAATTCAGTCTGTTTGTCCTAGACAAGTTTCAAAATACCGAGTATGCAGTTTATTTATATTCTGTTTTTGATTTTAGAAAGCTAGTTTTAAGTCAATTAATCAATCGAAATGTGGATTTTTCAAACAAACTTTACAGCTCGTTTTCCCCCCTTTGGAACTAGAATTTTCCAAATCCCCTTCGTAGTGCACACCTACACTGTGATAGGATACTTGAGCCCAAACTTCAGCTTCCTAGCTTTTACGGTTTGGGCTGTGGGCTGTTGACGTAGTTTCCTTTGTCCCCATAATTCAGTCTGTGTGTCCTAGACAAGTTTCAAAATACCGAGTATGCAGTTTTATTTATATTCTTTTTTTGATTTTAGAAAGCTAGTTTTAAGTCAATTAATCAATCGAATTGTGGATTTGTCAAACAAACTTTCAAACAAACTTTACAGCTCGTTTTCCCCCCTTTGGAGCTAGAATTTTCCAAATCCCCTTCGTAGTGCACACCTACACTATGATAGGATACATGAACCCAAACTTCAGCTTCCTAGCTTTTACGGTTTGGGCTGTGGGCTGTTGACGTAGTTTCCTTTTGCCCCATAATTCAGTCTGTGTGTCCTAGACAAGTTTCAAAATACCGAGTATGCAGTTTTATTTATATTCTTTTTTTGATTTTAGAAACCTAGTTATAAGTCAATTAATCAATCGAAATGTGGATTTTTCAAACAAACTTTACAGTTCGTTTTACCCCCTTTGGAGCTAGAATTTTCCAAATCCCCTTCGTAGTGCACACCTACACTATGATAGGATACTTGAGCCCAAACTTCAGCTTCCTAGCTTTTACGATTTGGGCTGTGGGCTGTTGACGTTGTTTCCTTTTGCCCCCATAATTCAGTCTGTTTGTCCTAGACAAGTTTCAAAATACCGAGTATGCAGAATTATTTATGTTAGGTATTCGATACCTTGTTAAGTATTATTGTAAAAGTGTCACCTGGTCACATTGATCTTGTGCCCTTTAGCTACACATTTTGAATTGTAACACATTCTGGAAATATACGCGGCCTGATACACAACAGAATTGGCGACGAGGAAAATAAAAGTTAGGAAAATAAAAGTTAAGAAAATAAAAGTTAAAGAAGAACAAATAAATGACCAGCATGACTACAGCAGCACCTATAACTCCACAATTTTATCACATGATAAGCATACCCGAGTTTGTGCCAAACAGTGAAACGTTTGCAATTTGGAAAGAAAAATTTGAAATACACATGTGCGAGCAAAGTGTGAGTGAAGAAAATGCAAAAAAGTCAACGTTGTTGAAATCAATTGGAACAGGCCCGTATGGTGTATTACACAGTTTATGCAGTCCAGATTCACCTGTATCAAAGTCATACAAGGAAATTTGCGAAATACTTTCAACGCACTACACACCACCTACACTTGTTTTTCGAGAACGAAAAAAGTTTCATATGGCAGTCAAAGGCGAAAATGAGACAATTGCAGAATGGTATGCCCGTTTAAAACAGTTGGCATGTAGCTGTAAATTTGGTGTCTATTTGGAAGCATTCGTACTTAACCAATTTGTGATGAGTCTTCCTAATGCAATATTTGAACGCATGTGCGAAGAAGATGAACGTCTATCTCTTTCTGACGCACTAAGAAAGGCAATGATAATGGAGACCAAAGATTTTGCAAAGAGGACAGGAGAGAACATCAGTTACGTGAACAGAAGCAGCGCAAATCAAAGAAAAAAGCGAAACTGCAACAATAGAAACAACGGCAGTTATGACACTGGAAGTTTCAAGGGCAACGGAAGATCACATGGGATGAACTTCAAAAGCAGTAGCAGCGACGGTAGTGACGGCGACGCAGGCAGAGGCAAAAAGCAGCAGAAATTCTGTGTGCACTGTGGTTGGAAAAATCATCGATCTGAAGAGTGCAAGTACAAACATCTAAATTGTCACACTTGTGGGAAGAAGGGTCATTTGGCGAGCGTATGTAATTCAAAACGAATAAATTGCGTATCGAATTTACAATCTGAAGATCCTATGTTAGATACTAAGCTAAATGAATTTAATTTTTCTGTATTTAGCGTGGCACCAACTTCTTCTGGTGAGGTTTACGTGTTACCGGTTACAATTGATGGTTGCAACATGAACGTCACTTGCGATACTGGAGCATCTTGTACAATTATTCCATATTCAGTTTATGAGAAGGCAGTGATGAAGAAGCCGCTCAGAGAATGTAATGTTCCGTACATGGACTACAATGGTCGTCTTATTGAAATTGTCGGTGAGTACGATGCAACAATTGAATATCGAGGCATAAGAAAAGAAATGGTTATAGTAGTTGCGAAAACAATGAGTCCAGCTTTACTTGGTAGAACATTTTTGAGATCGTTTAATTTTGAATTAGTTCAAGTTAACAATGTTAGCGAAAGTGAACAATTCTCTGTACTTACAAAACAAATAAAAAGTGAATTTGCAGATGTGTTTAGACCCGAATTAGGTTCTTTTAATGGGAGCAAAATTATGTTACAAATAGCGGAAAACACCAAGCCAATATTTTTCAAGCCTAGGCCGCTACCATTAGCATGGAAAGACCGCGTTGAACAAAAATTACGCGCTTTGATTGAGTTAGGAGTGTTAGAACAAGTTGATAGTTCTGATTGGGGAACCCCATTGGTTCCGATTCTTAAGCCAGATGGTGATATAAGAATTTGTGGAGACTACAAAGTTTCCGTAAATAGATCATTAGTCGATGTACGATATCCGTTACCACGAATTGATGATATTTTTGCAGCACTTCAAGGAGGCGTATTATACACTAAACTTGATTTAAGCAATGCTTATAACCAGTTGCACCTAGATGAGCAATCTCAGTTGTTGTGCACATGGAGCACACATATTGGACTTTTAAAAGTCAAACGATTACCTTTTGGTATAAAAACAGCAGCAGCAATATTCCAAAAGACAATGGAATGTTTATTCCAAGGAATAAAAGGAGTCGTAGTTTATCAGGACGACATTACAGTAACAGGAAGCAATCTTCAAGAACACATTTCAAATTTAAAAACAGTTCTTAGCAAGCTGAAATCAGCCGGACTAACTTTAAATGCAAACAAATGTGAATTTTTCAAATCTAAAATTCGTTACTTAGGGTTCTCAATAGACAGGTACGGATTAAGCAAAAATGTTGATAGAGTTTCCAGCGTTTTACTAGCACCCACACCTAAAAATGTATCTGAATTACGAGCATTCATTGGAATGGTGAATTATTATTCAAAGTTTGTTAAAAACTTCGCACAGATAATGAGTCCATTATATGTACTTTTGCAGAAAGATTCAAAATTTGTTTGGACAGTTGAATGTAACAAAGCATATGAGAGAATTAAAAGTGAGATAACTTCAGAACAAGTCTTAGTGCATTATGACGCAAACTTGCCTATTGTCTTAACGACTGATGCCAGTAGTAATGCCGTATCTGGCGTACTAGCATATAGATTTGCTGATGGTCTTAAACCGATAGCATTTGTTTCCAGAGCCTTATCAAAAAGTGAAATTAATTATAGCACACTGGATAAGGAAGCTCTCGCGATTGTATATAGTGTAATGAAGTTGAAACAATACCTTCTAGGGATCAAGTTCATCTTGAGAACTGATCATAAGCCCCTCTTGGGAATATTTGGAGATAAAAAAGGATTGCCACTTATGGCGTCTGCACGCTTGCAGAGGTGGGCTTTAATATTGTCAGGATTTCAGTACACAGTTGAACACATAAAGGGTTCATTAAACGAGGCTGACGGACTTTCAAGGATGCCTCAGTTATACAAATCAAACGAAGATGAGGAATACAATTATATTAACTTCATTCAATCTGATATACCGTTTAAATTGAATTTCAAGAGTATTGCTCGTGAAACAAGGCATGATTCAATCCTTTCAAAGGTGTGCGAAGCCATTAAAATTGGATCGCTACAAAAATTAAACAAGGCTGAATTCTCAAATTTCATAAATAAAGCAAATGAGCTAACAGTTGAGTACGATTGTATCTTATGGGGTCATCGTGTAATAGTTCCAACAAAACTTAGGAATCAAGTTTTACAAGAGTTCCACAAATCTCATTTAGGAATGGTGAAAACAAAAATGTTAGCACGCTCATACGTATGGTGGCCAAATATGGATTTAGAAATTGAAAATTTAATAAGAGAATGTATCGCATGTCAGGAATCACAACCAAGTCCAGAAAAGTCTACTTTGATACCGTGGAAATCAAATGGTCAGGTATGGAGTAGAATACACGTAGATTTTGCAGGACCAATAAATAATTTTTATTTATTGATATGTGTAGATTCTTTCTCTAAATGGGTAGAAGTTTTTAAAACAAAGGAAATTACGTCATCGTTTACAATAAAAACCTTAAGAGAATTATTTTGTAGATATGGTCTAGTTGATGTATTAGTGTCTGATAATGGTAGACAATTTACTTCAGAGGAATTTCGCATTTTCATGGCCAACAATGGCATAAAGCATGTTTTGACAGCTCCCGGTCATCCAGCGACAAATGGCCAAGCTGAAAACTTTGTAAAGACTGTAAAAAAATCAATAAATGCAAGCATTAAAGTTAACAGCAATTCTAGTTTTGACATAATCCTGAATAGATTTTTAATAGATTACAGAAACACGATTCATTGCACGACCGGCGAATCGCCAGCCAAACTTTTCTTTGGTAGACAACTAAAGACCAGATTTTCGTTTTTAAAACCTCCAATTGTACATGATCAAATAAGCAAAAAGCAGGAGGATAGTGTCATGAGTTACAGAGGTAATCGCGACATAAGATTTAAAGAAGGTCAAAAGGTTATGGTCAGGGACTATAAAAATCCTAACAAGGCAAGTTGGACTCAAGCAACAGTTAGCCAACAATTGGGACCTCGATCTTATTGTTGTATCTTAACTCATAACAATCGTGAAATAAAACGACATTTAAATCAAATTAGAAATCAAGAAAGCAAACACATTGCAACAGAAAAACGAGATAATCAAATCGAAAGTGATTGTTCAAGTGAAACTAAAAGTCAAAATGACACTGTAATTCCTTCTGAACCAACACCAACCAGAAGACAGCTAAGACCACGTATAGAGGGAAAGGTTGTTAAGCCTTCCACTTAAAAATTAATAATAGAAAATGAAACTTATGAATCAAATATTTGCAATTAAGAAAACAAAATGAAATGTATTAAGTTGAATTTAGACCTGAATTTATGATGAAATCTCTATTGAACTCCATGAATAATTGTTTTGTTAATTGTTAAATATCTCATAATGTTAAACATGTATCAATGCAAATGTATATATTTTATTGAGTGTTATGACAAAGCTAAGGAGAGGCATGTTAGGTATTCGATACCTTGTTAAGTATTATTGTAAAAGTGTCACCTGGTCACATTGATCTTGTGCCCTTTAGCTACACATTTTGAATTCTAACACATTCTGGAAATATACGCGGCCTGATACACAACAATTTATATTCTTTTTTTGATTTTAGAAACATAGTTTTAGTTCGATTAACCAATCGAAATGTGGATTTTTCAAGCAAACTTTACAGCTCGTTTTCCCCCCTGTTTCCTTTTGCCTCCATAATTCAGTCTGTTTGTCCTAGACAAGTTTCAAAATACCGAGTATGCAGTTTATTTATATTCTGTTTTTGATTTTAGAAAGCTAGTTTTAAGTCAATTAATCAATCGAAATGTGGATTTTTCAAACAAACTTTACAGCTCGTTTTCCCCCCTTTGCAGCTAGAATTTTCCAAATCCCCTTCGTAGTGCACACCTACACTGTGATAGGATACATGAACCCAAACTTCAGCTTCCTAGCTTTTACGGTTTGGGCTGTGGGCTGTGAGCTGTTGACGTAGTTTCCTTTTGCCCCCATAATTCAGTCTGTGCGTCCTAGACAAGTTTCAAAATACCGAGTATGCAGATTTATTTATATTCTTTTTTTGATTTTAGAAACCTAGTTTTAAGTCAATTAATCAATCCAAATGTGGATTTTTCAAACAAACTTTACAGTTCGTTTTACCCCCTTTGGAGCTAGAATTTTCCAAATCCCCTTCGTAGTGCACACCTACACTATGATAGGATACTTGAGCCCAAACTTCAGCTTCCTAGCTTTTACGATTTGGGCTGTGGGCTGTTGACGTTGTTTCCTTTTGCCCCCATAATTCAGTCTGTTTGTCCTAGACAAGTTTCAAAATACCGAGTATGCAGAATTATTTATGTTAGGTATTCGATACCTTGTTAAGTATTATTGTAAAAGTGTCACCTGGTCACATTGATCTTGTGCCCTTTAGCTACACATTTTGAATTGTAACACATTCTGGAAATATACGCGGCCTGATACACAACAGAATTGTCGACGAGGAAAATAAAAGTTAGGAAAATAAAAGTTAAGAAAATAAAAGTTAAAGAAGAACAAATAAATGACCAGCATGACTACAGCAGCACCTATAACTCCACAATTTTATCACATGATAAGCATACCCGAGTTTGTGCCAAACAGTGAAACGTTTGCAATTTGGAAAGAAAAATTTGAAATACACATGTGCGAGCAAAGTGTGAGTGAAGAAAATGCAAAAAAGTCAACGTTGTTGAAATCAATTGGAACAGGCCCGTATGGTGTATTACACAGTTTATGCAGTCCAGATTCACCTGTATCAAAGTCATACAAGGAAATTTGCGAAATACTTTCAACGCACTACACACCACCTACACTTGTTTTTCGAGAACGAAAAAAGTTTCATATGGCAGTCAAAGGCGAAAATGAGACAATTGCAGAATGGTATGCCCGTTTAAAACAGTTGGCATGTAGCTGTAAATTTGGTGTCTATTTGGAAGCATTCGTACTTAACCAATTTGTGATGAGTCTTCCTAATGCAATATTTGAACGCATGTGCGAAGAAGATGAACGTCTATCTCTTTCTGACGCACTAAGAAAGGCAATGATAATGGAGACCAAAGATTTTGCAAAGAGGACAGGAGAGAACATCAGTTACGTGAACAGAAGCAGCGCAAATCAAAGAAAAAAGCGAAACTGCAACAATAGAAACAACGGCAGTTATGACACTGGAAGTTTCAAGGGCAACGGAAGATCACATGGGATGAACTTCAAAAGCAGTAGCAGCGACGGTAGTGACGGCGACGCAGGCAGAGGCAAAAAGCAGCAGAAATTCTGTGTGCACTGTGGTTGGAAAAATCATCGATCTGAAGAGTGCAAGTACAAACATCTAAATTGTCACACTTGTGGGAAGAAGGGTCATTTGGCGAGCGTATGTAATTCAAAACGAATAAATTGCGTATCGAATTTACAATCTGAAGATCCTATGTTAGATACTAAGCTAAATGAATTTAATTTTTCTGTATTTAGCGTGGCACCAACTTCTTCTGGTGAGGTTTACGTGTTACCGGTTACAATTGATGGTTGCAACATGAACGTCACTTGCGATACTGGAGCATCTTGTACAATTATTCCATATTCAGTTTATGAGAAGGCAGTGATGAAGAAGCCGCTCAGAGAATGTAATGTTCCGTACATGGACTACAATGGTCGTCTTATTGAAATTGTCGGTGAGTACGATGCAACAATTGAATATCGAGGCATAAGAAAAGAAATGGTTATAGTAGTTGCGAAAACAATGAGTCCAGCTTTACTTGGTAGAACATTTTTGAGATCGTTTAATTTTGAATTAGTTCAAGTTAACAATGTTAGCGAAAGTGAACAATTCTCTGTACTTACAAAACAAATAAAAAGTGAATTTGCAGATGTGTTTAGACCCGAATTAGGTTCTTTTAATGGGAGCAAAATTATGTTACAAATAGCGGAAAACACCAAGCCAATATTTTTCAAGCCTAGGCCGCTACCATTAGCATGGAAAGACCGCGTTGAACAAAAATTACGCGCTTTGATTGAGTTAGGAGTGTTAGAACAAGTTGATAGTTCTGATTGGGGAACCCCATTGGTTCCGATTCTTAAGCCAGATGGTGATATAAGAATTTGTGGAGACTACAAAGTTTCCGTAAATAGATCATTAGTCGATGTACGATATCCGTTACCACGAATTGATGATATTTTTGCAGCACTTCAAGGAGGCGTATTATACACTAAACTTGATTTAAGCAATGCTTATAACCAGTTGCACCTAGATGAGCAATCTCAGTTGTTGTGCACATGGAGCACACATATTGGACTTTTAAAAGTCAAACGATTACCTTTTGGTATAAAAACAGCAGCAGCAATATTCCAAAAGACAATGGAATGTTTATTCCAAGGAATAAAAGGAGTCGTAGTTTATCAGGACGACATTACAGTAACAGGAAGCAATCTTCAAGAACACATTTCAAATTTAAAAACAGTTCTTAGCAAGCTGAAATCAGCCGGACTAACTTTAAATGCAAACAAATGTGAATTTTTCAAATCTAAAATTCGTTACTTAGGGTTCTCAATAGACAGGTACGGATTAAGCAAAAATGTTGATAGAGTTTCCAGCGTTTTACTAGCACCCACACCTAAAAATGTATCTGAATTACGAGCATTCATTGGAATGGTGAATTATTATTCAAAGTTTGTTAAAAACTTCGCACAGATAATGAGTCCATTATATGTACTTTTGCAGAAAGATTCAAAATTTGTTTGGACAGTTGAATGTAACAAAGCATATGAGAGAATTAAAAGTGAGATAACTTCAGAACAAGTCTTAGTGCATTATGACGCAAACTTGCCTATTGTCTTAACGACTGATGCCAGTAGTAATGCCGTATCTGGCGTACTAGCATATAGATTTGCTGATGGTCTTAAACCGATAGCATTTGTTTCCAGAGCCTTATCAAAAAGTGAAATTAATTATAGCACACTGGATAAGGAAGCTCTCGCGATTGTATATAGTGTAATGAAGTTGAAACAATACCTTCTAGGGATCAAGTTCATCTTGAGAACTGATCATAAGCCCCTCTTGGGAATATTTGGAGATAAAAAAGGATTGCCACTTATGGCGTCTGCACGCTTGCAGAGGTGGGCTTTAATATTGTCAGGATTTCAGTACACAGTTGAACACATAAAGGGTTCATTAAACGAGGCTGACGGACTTTCAAGGATGCCTCAGTTATACAAATCAAACGAAGATGAGGAATACAATTATATTAACTTCATTCAATCTGATATACCGTTTAAATTGAATTTCAAGAGTATTGCTCGTGAAACAAGGCATGATTCAATCCTTTCAAAGGTGTGCGAAGCCATTAAAATTGGATCGCTACAAAAATTAAACAAGGCTGAATTCTCAAATTTCATAAATAAAGCAAATGAGCTAACAGTTGAGTACGATTGTATCTTATGGGGTCATCGTGTAATAGTTCCAACAAAACTTAGGAATCAAGTTTTACAAGAGTTCCACAAATCTCATTTAGGAATGGTGAAAACAAAAATGTTAGCACGCTCATACGTATGGTGGCCAAATATGGATTTAGAAATTGAAAATTTAATAAGAGAATGTATCGCATGTCAGGAATCACAACCAAGTCCAGAAAAGTCTACTTTGATACCGTGGAAATCAAATGGTCAGGTATGGAGTAGAATACACGTAGATTTTGCAGGACCAATAAATAATTTTTATTTATTGATATGTGTAGATTCTTTCTCTAAATGGGTAGAAGTTTTTAAAACAAAGGAAATTACGTCATCGTTTACAATAAAAACCTTAAGAGAATTATTTTGTAGATATGGTCTAGTTGATGTATTAGTGTCTGATAATGGTAGACAATTTACTTCAGAGGAATTTCGCATTTTCATGGCCAACAATGGCATAAAGCATGTTTTGACAGCTCCCGGTCATCCAGCGACAAATGGCCAAGCTGAAAACTTTGTAAAGACTGTAAAAAAATCAATAAATGCAAGCATTAAAGTTAACAGCAATTCTAGTTTTGACATAATCCTGAATAGATTTTTAATAGATTACAGAAACACGATTCATTGCACGACCGGCGAATCGCCAGCCAAACTTTTCTTTGGTAGACAACTAAAGACCAGATTTTCGTTTTTAAAACCTCCAATTGTACATGATCAAATAAGCAAAAAGCAGGAGGATAGTGTCATGAGTTACAGAGGTAATCGCGACATAAGATTTAAAGAAGGTCAAAAGGTTATGGTCAGGGACTATAAAAATCCTAACAAGGCAAGTTGGACTCAAGCAACAGTTAGCCAACAATTGGGACCTCGATCTTATTGTTGTATCTTAACTCATAACAATCGTGAAATAAAACGACATTTAAATCAAATTAGAAATCAAGAAAGCAAACACATTGCAACAGAAAAACGAGATAATCAAATCGAAAGTGATTGTTCAAGTGAAACTAAAAGTCAAAATGACACTGTAATTCCTTCTGAACCAACACCAACCAGAAGACAGCTAAGACCACGTATAGAGGGA